GAGTGGGTGGGTCAGTGCTGTGGGAAGGGGTCAGGAAGGCTGGGCCCTGGGTTGATCTCTAGTGATGTCTACCTGTGCAGTTCTCGTGTATTCATCAATATGCATTAAATGTCTGCTGTGTGCTAGGCTCTGTGCCACTGGGGACACAAGCAGCCCTAGCACCAAGGATTATTGTTGGAGAAGCTGCTGGTAGCACTAATGGGAGAGTCTTTAGCCCATGAAGAATGACCATCAGCAGCCTACCCCCAACCCAGCTCCGGCTGATGACATGACAGCTTAATTTGTAGAAGGAAAAAACTAAGTAAAGGCTATAATTTACAGTTGGGATAATTGGCCAACTGTTAGGAAAGGGAAAAAAAACCCTAATATACAATCTATGTAAAAATAGTGTGCTTGCTACGCAAACTCAGCTTCAAGACGCGATTCCAGCTGCTGTGGGTACACTTCTCCATACTAACCAGGCAGCTGACCCTAAGCTCCTGAATAGGCATTCTGAGCTGCCCCAAGATATATGGGAGAGCAAAACAGACTTGGTGTCCTCTTTTCTGAGTTCAGTTTTACTTCTGGAAGAAATATTAATTAATCAGGCACTTATGACCCAATGTATACATCGAAGGGTAAAGCAAGGGACAGTGGTAGCATGAAAGGGTCCTCTAACCCGGGCTGGAGGACAGGTTTCTCTGAGAAACCATAGAGCAGATGCCTAATAAATATGTGCTGAAAACTATTGATGTGCCTAAGCTGATATTTGAGGTAGAGTGAGCCAGGTTGACACTGGAGGGGCAAAGAATATCAGGAGAAGGAATGGCCAGAGCTCAGGAGCTGTTGAGAATGTTTAGCTAGTTTGGGGAACTGGCCTGGCTGGATAAATCACCTTCCTGAAGTTGTTGCTTCCTGTTGGGATTACCCTTGGAGACCTCCTAGCATATGTGCACCAGGGCTGGCGGCATTACCTCCTCCTTTTTCTCTTTCTTTCTTTCTTTCTTTCTTTCTTTCTTTCTTTCTTTCTTTCTTTCTTTCTTTCTTTCTTTCTTTCTTTCTCTCCTTCTTTTCTCTCTCTCTTTTCTCTCTTCTGTCTTCTCTCTGTTTCTGTCTTTCTCTTATAAAAGCTAGCTTTCCATCCATGAGAGTAAGCCAGTACCTGGAAACCCAGAAATAGGCATGACTTGAGGCCCGGATGTGCTCCTAGGCCTGACAACTGTGAACTCAGTGTAACTTTACATTGAAAGCTCCAGAGAGGGAAGACCCAGAGAAGCCAGTGGCATGCCTGAGGCCACATGGCAGGCTGTGCTCTTAACCATGTGGACAGAAAGATTCCTTAACTAAAGTTACTTCTGCCTATAGGCCCCCTTTGGTGCCCTCTTTCTTGTTCAGGAATTGAATAGAACGCTGAGTCCTGACAGCTCTGCCAGGTGGGGGCGCAGAATTCCGGAGTTGAGTCCAGCCTGGCATATGAATTTTTGGGGTGGTGGAGGGCTGCAGGCTAGGAAAGTAGGACCTAAAAGGGCAAGAGGAGGCTGCATAATATGGGACTAGATGGAGAGAGATGTTAAGGAAGCAGCTTTTCTGATATGGCTGCTCTTTGAGGCAGCCTTCGTGTTGGTGGGACACAGAAGCTTAGTTTCTAATTAAGCTTAGCCCCTGTGTCTCCTTGCTCCCATTAGCACCCCACAGTATTCCCAAGGCATTTTAAGTTGCCACCCTGCTGAGGAGGCCGGGATGGCCGCCAGGACCTGCCAAGCTTGATGCGCTTAGGCTGTGAGGGGCATAAAGCCAAAGCAGGCTTCCCCTCCTCTCCGCAGCAATTGCTGGGCCCTTTGGTCCCCTCAGAAGCCCAGGGGGACCTTCTGCCCAGCACATCAACCTCTGGGGCTTTGAGTGGAATCCAGATTATTTCCTTGTCCCCAGTACTACATCTTGATCTTAAAGTATAGGATAGGGAATGGGGCGTAGGCCAGCTCCTTCTGCAGCAGCCCCCAGACTCAAGAATAAGCTGTCAGAATCCAGCACAAATAAAGGAGTCTGTGGGAAGCAAGCAAGCAAATGGCAATTACCATTTTAGGTTAAGGCAGCCTTGGTTTGTTAACCCTTGCAGCAGTGGGGAATCCTAGAAGCCAAATCCTCCTTCTCTTTCTCTCCTTCCTCCTCCAGGTCTGACCTTCTGTACGCCACCTTCTAGTTCCTGGCAGAGTGAGCACTAGAACTTGAGGTCCCCACTCCCCCCTTTCCCACTACACTCACAAGCAAGCTCAGAGAGGTGGTAGAATGGGCCCAAGGTCACACAGCATAGAGGCAGCCTCCATCCCTGGAGACCCAATCCCACTGGCTCCACTGCTTCCACCTTCACAGTCTCCCCAGGCCACATTCACACATGCAGAGTTTAATTAACTTTATTGATATTCAGAAATTAGGAAAATGACTAAAGGTAATTGCTCATTAAAAATCATTAAACTGACACAGCAGGCCTGGGCAGGCTCAGCCTCTCCTGCACCGCCTTCTTTCCTCACTAGGCAAGATCACCCCAAACTGCCCATGGGTTGGGCAGATACACTGTTGTCCTCAGTGTCCCTTAGACTGGGGGCCAATTCTTCACAGAAGGTACAGAAGGGAATAGGGGACTGAGTCCATGGAGTGGACCCATTCTATCTCCAGAGCCTCTGGGGCCTCTGCCTCCCAGGACTCCTGCTGCTTCTGGGCTGTGCCTGACTGCATCTTGAAGCTGGAGTCTCAAATGTGAGCAAAGCTCTGAGGGCTGCAAGACTGCTAGGCTGAGGGACTGCTAGGCTGAGCCCTGGCTGGGAAGGCTCACAGCCTTAGCCCTTTGTTCCTCAAGGCTCTTCTTCACTGAGTCTCCAGGAACTCTGAGATGGTCAAACACTATCTCCTAATGAGAGGACTCAGTACCCGCAACAACCAGGATCTTGAATCACAGCTAGAGATAGAGGGAGGGGTCTCTGGGTCACCCAGCTCGGGTCCCCATGCCTTCACCTGCCAGGCTTGGCACTGCCAGACTTTTTCCTCCTCTCTTTTGAGTGGAAGTAAAGGTCTTTAGCAGTCAGACCCCTACTCTGAAAACAGGCACTGGAGATCCTCCTGGGCCAGAGAGAGACACTGGCAGGGGACACACAGACTTTCCGTCACAGAGTGGGCAAATTCCTCCCAACACCCACTCCCCACAAACTCAGCGGAGCTCAGTGGGGCTCCCCACCACATCAGCTTTCCTCCTGAAGACCTGAAATCTCAGTCCGGCTCCCCGGAAGTCCTGTGGCAGAGGCTGCAACCACATACAGGTGCCCTCACATGAGCTCACTGCTGAGTTCTCACCCAGTATTCAGACCTCCCCAAGCATAGACAACCTGGGACTTGCCCCTGCGGACACACAACTTGCCAGTTACACTCACACCAAGACGACACACTGACACAGGATGCCTTAGACGCAAGCAGGGAATGGGCACCCGCCCTGTACCTCAGGGGAGCTGTCCAGAGCAGGGATGTGGTCAGATTCTGATTCAGATGCTGAATTCAGAGGCACACAGTTGATGTCTACCTCGTTCATGGGCTTTTCCTTGCCCATTCTGCCCCTGGGGTGAGGCTTCTGGGATTCTCCCTTTTCCCCTCGATTAAATACCCGGTTCCAAGTAACCTGTGTTGCTGGAGGACTAGATGTGTCCATGTGGCTGGGTGAGGACACGGGGCTGCTCGAGAGAAGAGCTAAAGGCTCAGAGGGGCCATACAGCCAAAGATTCTGTCGTGTAGGGGCCCAGCGCTGCCCTGACCTCAAATGCGGAGGGGAAAGATCGAGCGCAGAGGTTAGAAATGTCTCCTCTTCCGTCCTCCACAGCAGGCGCTACGAACCATATGGCGAGGGACCACGATTCTCAACTCTGAGCGCGGTTTCTACCCCACCAGCCGGCGGAAGGAGCGAGAGAAAGACACGAGCAATCAGCTTCAAAAAACAGCTTGTTTGAACCGGGGCGGATGGCAGGTACAGACAAGACTCTAAAACCTTCCTGCACCGGAGCACAGAACCTTTTGCCTTTAGCCTTTGCCCAGTCTTCCTTGGTGCCTACTCCAAGGCCAAGTTTCCTAGGACCTGAGACCAATAAAGTCGAACATGTGATTCCTCGCGAGAGGCTGGGGACGCAGGGTAGGGAACCGCCAGTCCTCTCTCAGCTAGTCTGCCTGTGGCCGAGGGGTGGAAGGGTTAAGAAGACAGGCCGGAGGAAGGTACAGTTTTGGGCGTTTTGGGATGTGTGTGTGTGTGTGTGTGTGTGTGTGTGTGTGTGTGTGTGTATGTAAAGGACTTCAGAGAGGACAAACTATCCCGGGACCTCATATTCTGCCGTCCAAGGCAGAGTGAAGAGCCAGATACATGGCCCAGGGGTCCCCGGGTGTCTCCCCAAAACTGCTGTAGGTTCTGATTCTGCCGTGGCAGTGCTAGGGCTGAGGGAGGTGAGCGACGTCCTAACCCCGGGTCCGGACGACATCAGGTCGGCTTCCTCTGCAGTCGGGATGCAAGAGGCCCCGGAACCCGTGGCAAAGTCGTGCGAAGTTTGGCGGGCAACGGGGTAGGCGGCATCAGGGCCGCCAGCCAGACGGTCCCGACTCACCGCCCCGCGTCCCCCCCGCCCCCGCCGCCCGCGACTCGGCGCCCCTAGACGCCTGGAGTGTGGCGAGGTGGCGCGCGGGTGAGCGCGTGTGTGCGGCGAGGGGGTGGCGTGATGAATTGCAGCAGAGAAATCCCATTAGATCCGGGGAGACGATTAAAGGCGAGGTCTCGGCCAGGCGCGAATGGCGGGAGCAGCGGCAGCTTCCCGCTCGCGGAGCCTGCGCCCCGCCCGGCTCCACCGGCGCCGAGGGCAGCGCAGCCGGAGGGACTCGGAGCTCGGGCTGGACAGCCGGACGCGCTCACGGAGCGCCAGGACGGGCTTCCCTTCCTTCCCCGGGACCTCGCCCCAGCTACAGTCCTGCGCCGGGCGCCGGGCGCAGGGGTCCCTTACCGTGAACCAGGAGCGCCAGCAGCGAGGGCAGGAGCAGCAGGGCTGCTGGGCGCATGGTGCCGGTGGCAGCCGCGCCCCGGGCTGGGGCCGCAGCGGGCGGGCGAGGGGCTCTGTGAGGCGTGGGAGCAGGAGCGGCAGAGCCTGCCTGGTCCGGCCAGGGAGCGGGAGCGGGGCCGCCGCCGCCGCCGCCGCCAGCGCCTGACAGAATCAGCACCACGGCCAGCGCCTGGCGTCGGCGCCGGGCTCGCCGCGCGGGGCTGGGGGCGGGGGCGCGGGAGGAGCGGCTTACCGTAAAGTCTCAAGCAAAGGCGCAGAGACCCAGCGGCAGGAGCACAGCCACCCGCGCCACCGCCTGCTCAGGGGAAGGATTGCCCTACTAGTGTGGGCACACGGCCCCCACCCTTCCGCGCTGCCCACGCCCAGCCAAGCCCGCCACCCTCTTCCCTATCAGCTGCTTGCTAAGGTGGCACATTTTAACCCTACCTTCCTTGTGAGAGAGCACCCTCTCCCACTTCTCTCCATTCCATCCCAGTACCTGAGGGTACTGTGGGTGAATTGGGAAGACATCCCCGAATGAGGCAGCTGATGAGGCCGTGTGCCCTTGTGACAGCTCCGTCCTGGGCCGATAATGAAGATGGTTTCTGAACGTACAAAGGACAATAAATTATTACTTTGTGCTCAATAAATGCCAGGGCTCCAGGCAGCTGCATCAGCAGCAAACTGTGCTCACAGAAAAGCTTAATTATCCTGATATTATAGTTAAAAGCCAGTGGCACTTGTGTCCTGGGGAGACATTCTCCACTTGGCAGGAGGCAACCTGGCCAAGCTGTGGGGGACTGAAGGTAGTATCCTAGGTCCCCAGGCAGCCCTAGATATCTAGGATACTGCCTTGTTCTCTCTGTGGGACCAGAGCAGCCACAGTGACAGCCCCCTTAGGCTCAGGTCCTTCATATACTGTGCAGGATCCTGGAGCTGGTGAAGAAAATGGGGCAAGAATAGGAGAAGGGCTCTGGAAATTTATTTATTTATTCACTATGAACTTTAGGAATTTAAAAAATAAGTAATATGCTTATTTTTATATTTTCTGTCATACAGCATTGGGAATTGAACTTAAGGCCTTCACATTGAGTTCCATTCCCAGACTTTTTTTTTTTTTGCAGAACCAGGGATTGAATTTAGCCCTTGCACTTGCCAGGGAAGTGCTTATTCCACTGAGCCATCTCCCCGCCCCTCCAGACCTTTTTTAATTTTTTATTTTGAAACAAGGTCTCACTAAGTTATTAAAGTCCTCAGGTTGGGCTTCACTTTTCATTCAGCCTCCCAGAATACTGGGGTTACAGGTGTGCACCATCCCACCTGGCTTGATCACTATCATCACTACCACTATCATCATCCTTCAGGACTGAACCCAGAGCCTCACACATAGTGGGCAAGTGGTCTGGTATTAAGTTACACCCCCAGTCCATTAGGACTGATTTAGATCTATCTTTTTTTTTTT